AAAAAAAAAGGTTGGATGAGAAAAAGAACTGTTACAGAAACTAATGGGATGATAATCGGTACATTTCTTTACGCTATTGGTGAACAAAATCATCGACGGATAATTGTATAGCATATCAAACCGTTAACAGATATATAAACAAATGCCAAGTGTAAAACAGAAACAAAAAAAAAAACACCTTCTGACCTTCACATATCTTTTTGTGCTTCATTTTTTTTGCCTCCACTTAATTAAAATAATTTTTAGAAGAAAAACCTTATCAACAGTGCTAAAAAAAATGTTTACTTAAGAACTGTGCAATTGATGGAGTTAACGAAGTTGTCGATCGCTATATTGCGACCAAAAATAATGTTTTTCAAAGAACTATTTTGGTTGTCAGAATGGCTGTACAACGAGGAACAACCGGTGTAAAAGTCCTGCAAATTGTTGTTCCAAAAATTCTTCTATTACTCAACATTTTAATGATACGTATGAAAAACGACTGAGATAGATGGAAGAACATTTAACAAAAATTTTCGCCTCTATACTGTCCAACTGTACTCTGTGCATCCAGTTGAATTCATAAATTGTCGAAATTGTCAGCAGCAGTATACAAACTGTTATCGTCAGCTTCAAGATTTATAAATATTATTCTTAAAAGCTACTTCGTTATTGGCACGTAAATATCTTACTGATGAGAGGTTTTCCTCGTCACCTATGTAATATGATACATATTACGTTATTAGATACTATTTATGTTTATCACCCGGTCCCAATTTCCATTCTTTTTTCAGTTATTTCCTTTTCAAACTTTGAAACTCATTTTTAATACAGATACTTTTTACTTGATAAAATTTGAATATTAACATTTTCTATTTATTGTTTTTTGAAATGTATTTATACTAGATGTTTATTGATTTTCTTCAAATGCTTATTAAATTTATAAATTTAATTATTCAAATTAATGGTCAAATTGTTCTTTCAAAAATCTTCAATAATACGCCACTTGAGCGGTAAAGTTTTTTTTATGATTTTAATCGTAAACAGTTTATGTAGCAAATTTTTTGCGACTTAAAGCTGAGTTAACAGTAGAATAGTTTTTTAGAGAAGCAAAAGTATTTAAAATTTTGATCTATTTCTTCCACATAAAGTGTCATATCTTTTACTACGTTAAAAGATTGAACCTTGATTAGTTCATCATCAATTAAATATGTAATTGTTGCAGTTATAAGACATAAAGATCTTTTTCCGCTTTTTTTTTTGATAACACTGAAAGATTATAATATTCAGAAAAACTGCTACATTAAAAATATAATTTTTTTTTTTTGCCTTATCGATGTTATGTATCGTCTTTGACATCGTTTTTTTTTTTCAATTGTTTCACGCTGTTTACTGAATTTAACTCTTTGCCATAGTCGTTCATATTTCAACAAAAGATTATGTAACCTGAAATTTGTTAACAGATCTCATTTTCTGTCAATTGTTATGTAAATTATATATTTATAATGAAGAAGTATACAGCTTTTCAAACTTCGTTTCTTTCATTTTAATAATTTGAGATAACTTCTTTTTTCTGCTTTGGGTGGTCATTAAATTTAATGTCGTCAACCATCTACCGAGAAAAATCTGCATGTGATCAAATTGCAGATGCTGTTACGACGATTGAGCTGTTCATTTCGAACTGCAAATATCCAACGATACTATGCCGCTGTAGCTTTTGCCGGCAAAGGTAGACCATGTTTAGGCATACGTCGAGAAACCATTAATGCGTGGGAACGAAGAGCACCAATTGCACCGAAACATGTGCAGAAATTAACTCAGGTTTAAAACTTCTGGCAATTTTTATAGCTGTTTGTTAACCGCTGAATATTCATTGATTTTAGAAGCAGGGGGCTGTCTGTCAGTTAATGTATAGACAAAGTATACAGTTCTGAATATAACTCTCTCTTTATTTCCTTTCATCTTTGAATACAGATGCAGTTAAAGTAGATTAAAGTGTTAACTTTAACTTATTTTAAAAAGCTATATTTTTGTTAACATTTTGAACATGTTGGAATGAAAAAGTTCTTAAAATTTTAGCAAGGTATAAAGGTGCTTATTCAACCATCAAATCGACGAGCATATACAGCAACAGACTATATTGCAGCTGGTGCAGAAGTTCGAGAAGATCTTTCAGAGGCTCAACTTATTATTTCTGTTAAACAGGTTTGTTTCTTTGATCTAGCGTATTTGTTTGCAGTTGTACTAGCATGAGATGCTAGATGTAAAATATAGCTTTATAAGATTATTCGTTTTCCTAACCAATCAATTTTAGGTTCCTCTTGATCTTTTAATCCCGGACAAAACTTATGCATTTTTTTCACACACAATTAAAGCTCAACCAGATAATATGGAAATGTTGGATACAATTTTACATCGGGTAATTTTTTTAAAATAAATACTGAAAAAAATTTAAATTTTCTGTGTACCAGTGTTTGGTAATGACCATCAAAAAGAAATGTAAACTAAATATTTAAAACAACAATAACACATATAATTTATATCTAGCTTAATTTTTTTTTCTACAGAGAATTCGTCTTATTGATTATGAAAAAATTGTTGGTGATAAAGGTCAAAGATTGGTAATGTTTGGTAAATGGGCTGGATATGCAGGTACTATTGACATTTTACACGGTCTTGGTTTACGATTATTAGCCCTTGGACATCATACACCCTTTTTGGTATTTATCTATCGCTATACAATTTTTATAGATTTATCAACGTTTTTTTTTCAAGCTACCAAAATTGAAACAAAGAAAAATAGTTCTACAAAAAGAAAACTGTTTATTTTTAGCACATTGGTTTAGCACATAATTATCGCGATAGTCATATGGCAATAAATGCGTTACGTGATGTTGGATATGAAATCGCACTCGGAAATTTACCACCATCATTAGGACCATTGATATTTGTGTTCACCGGAAATGGCAATGTATCACAGGGTGCTCAAGAATTATTCCGTAATTTTCCGCATGAATTTGTTCATCAGTCAACCTTACCTCAGATTGCTGAAAAAGGAAGTATGTTTAAAAGTTATTAGCCTGGTGTCCAATATATATTAAAAAAGTTGTTTCCTAGATTTGTTGAACGAAATACCAAAAAAAAAGAACAGTTTTTGTTCAACAATGAACACAAACTAAAACAATAATAAATATGGAAAAATAATTGAAATCGAGTATACAAATTTTAGCATTACTGTAATCGCAAGGTTTTTATCTCATTTTTCAATATATTTTTACTTAAGTTTGCAATAACAGATTTTTTTTTCTGACTTCAAAGTACCTCCCTATCCCAAATTCTTTATTACTTTCCATTGTTATTACTTACTTCTCCGCAGAGCCCAGCAGGAAACAGTGTTTTTCCAAAAATGTTCCAAACAGCCACTTGAAAGAAGCGAAATTTTAGAACGTTTTTTTGAAAAGTTGAAATTCTGAAATCTTTTCTTCTCTTGCACTTCTAAAGTCAATATTTTTCCTGCTTTTAAAAAAAATTAGGATCAATGTGTAATTTAACGTTTTCAAGGCATGAACAAACTTTATGGTTGTGTGGTTGATATGCAGGACCATCTGGTACCAAAGAATGGTATGACTTTATTTTACTTAATTTATCTTCTTTACAGATGTTTACTTGTCACTGTTAATTCATTTTACCAAACAGTGTTCAAAAAAAGAAACCTTTTCTCGGGATGTCTTCTAATTTTCATTTCATTTAGGTGGCGCCTTTGATTTTGACGATTTCCAACAGCATCCAGATCAATATATCT